GAAGATTAGCATTTTGCAATGTTTTAATGTGATCTCGTGCGTGAGATTCACGTGAACTTCTGATCGCGCGATGTAGAAAGGAGAAAAATTGATGCGCCGCGTCAACAATCGTTTGCAAAAAGCACGAAACTGCACGGAATTTTTAGCGATAAATCTGGATAATCCTGACACTTGATACAAAAATAATACACCAGCAGTGTGAGATAAATTTGCACAAGTTAGATAAATAGGTGTACTAAGCTTATTTTACGAGACACGTCGTGTGACTGGTTTATATATGTATATATTGGGTTGAACGGAAAGTTCGTTCCGTTTTTTACCAACAATAAGAGATGAAGACCGAAAAAACGGCACGAACTTTCCGTTCAACCAATACAATAACTTTCACATCTCATTTGAAAGATAATTTAATTCTCTACAACTTTTGTTTCGATACTTTTTGTTAAAAGACGCATACTTTCCCTGATATTTGTAAAAATGTAAAAAATAACCGTGATTTTAGAGGTTTTTGGGCGCTAACTTTTTAAGGAAGCATTTTTCGACCCATGTTTATAGGAAACTTTTTGTTCAGAATTAAATTATCTTTCAAATGAGATGTGAAAGTTATTGATTGTAGTTTGTTCCATAGGTTTTGAAATAAACCAGTTTGTAAGACCGAGAAAACGGCACGAACTTTCCGTTCACCCAATACAATAACTTTCACATCTCATTTGAAAGATAATTTAATTCTGAACAAAAAGTTTCCTATAAACATGGGTCGAAAAATGCTTCCTTAAAAAGTTAGCGCCCAAAAACCTCTAAAATCACGGTTATTTTTTACATTTTTACAAATATCAGGGAAAGTATGCGTCTTTTAACAAAAAGTGCCGAAACAAAAATAGTAGAGAATTAAATTATCTTTCAAATGAGATGTGAAAGTTATTGATTGTAGTTTGTTCCATAGGTTTTGAAATAAACCAGTTTATAAGACCGAGAAAACGGCACGAACTTTCCGTTCAATATATATTGTTGATTGCGAAATATCTATGTCCGGAAGCGATCGACAATGCAATCCGGATCTTTACAAAAAAGGGACACTTACAAATTATCGCAAACTAAAATAATATCGCAAACTAAAATAATATCGCACCGCGCGAGGAATATTTCCTTTCTTCCTGAATCCACGATTGTCATAAATCGATTCGATAGAGAAAACGGGGCACGATTCCGTCGAACAGAATATATTTGACGGCATGTTATTGGCAGCTTTCTCGTTGCTCCACGATAAAGAATAATAGACCTCGACCGAGAGTTCGATCCTTAGAATACGCACGTCTGGTTCTCGTCGAAGTATCGTAACGAAAACCATGCAAGTGTTTTCTCATCTCGTGCCCATCGGCACAATCGTCCCATACGCACGCACACGTATATATGCATCCAACGTTTCTCCGCTTCCATAATTTAAAGCACGGTGTATCGAGCAACGCCTGGAATCTCCCGACGAAGACGGGATCCATTAGCGTGGATACAAATCTGGCATCAAAACAAAACTCGCGGATTCGCTAAATCTGTCCAGCACTTTCTGAGGCTTTCTTGAAATTCTTTGTTACAAAAAGCAAATCTCATTTTTATAGTTATATTAGTTTATAATTATTTTATATAAGAAAATTTTTTTCTAGATATTTTTATATATAAGATTAATTAATCAAAACATATAGATATTATAAAAAATAAAATAACATGATTTTAAGAATTAATAATAAAAGTATTTAAAATTGGCATTCTATGTAAAATTTATACGCGTCTTTTTCTCTTTTTTTGCATGCCTTCAACTAATTTCCTAAATATCGCCTCTCTTATCTCTGTCGCAAAGATAATGATGCATGCGAGATGAGACAACGTAAAACGCCGGTATTAAAATTTTGGAAGAAAGTGCCGGTCGTCGTCGAGTTTTAAATTATATCCTCGCCGCGCGTCGACACTACAAAGTCCCGGACCTACGTCACGATAATTACGGGTGGTCAAATTCGTCGGATCGCGGGCCCCCGTGATGAAACAGGTTGGAGCGATTTCATTCAATTTGTCGAGGGTCGAGGAACACTCCCTTGTGTAGGGGATCTCGTAGATCTCGCTGAGATTTCCGACGATAATCTACGGACAGCTACGACCGGGAAAAAGAGGATCGTCGCGGTACTTAAACTTTCGTGCATAAATCAAGGTGCGCTTCCTGGCACCGCCAGAAATATTCAGAGAAAGAGGTGTTTCCAGGCTTCTTCCCCATCTAATCTTTTTCACCCGTAAACGCGATTTTTGATATTACTTTAAGCATAAAACACACATATTGAAACACAGAATATAATTTACGGCGAAATTTTGAGAGGGGCAAAGTCGTAAATATAAATCCGTTAAGTAACCCCTCGAGATAAGGGAAAACGCGAGAGGGTGTAAAAATTTATGAACAGCCGCAACTGATAGAAACACAATTTATTCGGCTCGAAATAGCGCCTAATCGAAAGTATTCCGATACCTTCGCCGTTAAAAGAGCTCGTTCGTTCGACGGCGGCGCGGATCAAAGACGAAAAGAAAAAGATAGAGACAAAGGAGACGCGTTAGGAAGGAAGATTGAGAGAGACAGAGCAAAGAGGTATCAAAAGCAAAAGGTGTAGAAGCAAGGAATCCGTTTTTCTGAAAGACATCGTTCGTTTTCGAGAAACATGCCGTTTTATCATAAATTATATTGGGCCATATATCGTAAAATGAGGTGAATCATAATACATACTCATTGTACATAAAGAACAAATAATATTTGCATGTGTATTTTTGTTGAAATATGACTTATAATATTTAGTTAATAATTAATAATTAACTCGTATCTTACATTAAATTTTTGTATTGAATTAAAAATATGAATCATAATCGCAAACTTTGTTACCGTAAAATAAAAATTATGCGATTATACACAGGTGAAAGAATTATATTAAGCGTAATTGCATCGTGTTTAAATTTTCCACGATGATTCTTTTTAATATTCGTCTTTTATGCCTGCTTTGATTCATCTCCGCGAACCGGAAACGGATCATCTCGAATCAGTCTGCGAGGAAGTCTCGTGTGGCGTGTTAGTGGCAAGATATTATCCGTATATTTCGTCCGGAAAGATGTTGATTCCCGAAAAAGTAAGCCGCTTAGCAGACATATCCGTTTTAACCCCATGGGGTCGCGCGAGGCAAGTTAATAATCGACGTCGCGACGAAACCGAGCGATACACGTGGGTGGCCTGTGCATTCTCCGATTTCACGAAAGCACCAAACGTTGCTGTTTCACTCGAGAGGAGAACGACAATCTTTATCGCATCGATAAAATATATTCGGAGATTCTATCGCGCTTTCTAAATTAAAATTATCGCGTAAACATCAAAGTCAGATATCAATTTATTCGATAAAGATCTGTGATTCTCCGGCTCATTCAGCAAACTGCATAATTCATGTAATGTCGCAAGATAATATGTTATATTAAATATTCGTAAAGTATTTGGATAATGTTGCATTCATGTCACAAAATGTTTATTGAACGATCGGCTATCACATAGAAAATTCTTAGAATTTTGGGAAATATTTTAGAAATTTTATATTAAACGTTTATCTCTGTGTTTGACAATGTTTCGAGTTACGGTGACATGGAATTCACTTGATAAAACTGTCACACATTCGTACTATTAATGCACGATGTCCTATATACACGCATAATATGATAATCGTCGGATATTTTTCTCAGCACTCTTAATATTACATGCTTATTTGCAAGTGATATTTATTCTCATAATTGTATTAATACGTTTAATAATGCTTGTTATAGTCGCATAAAATTCACGGAATTTGATGGAATTATCGCACGTTTGCATTATCAACGCGATATATCTTATTTTCGCATATGCCACCCGTTCGATATTTTTTTCGATACTTCCCGATACTACATGCTTATCTATTAAAAATACGTTCTTTTTTAACTTAAAATCTCACAAAACTCGGATGTGATAAGACAAATAATTTTTTACAATCGTAATATCGTGATATAATTATAATTATAATATTAATTATGATAGATTAATTCTTTTGATACTTGCAATGCTCAATTAAATATGAACCACGAACGTCCCGAAAATATATTATAATAAAATAATCTATGTATGTACCTTCCTTTAATTTCTTTAGAAATTGCTTTGTTCGATGTAATATTTCACGTCGTCACATTTTTAAACATATTAGCAGCTGTATTCGTACTATCGCGTAACGTAAACAAAGCGCGGCCGACCTTGCTTCCCTCTCTCTCTCTCTCTCTCTCGCGCATGGCATGTTTGGTATTTTTAACATACTAACAATAAAAGTTACGAAGCTAGGATCAGTCGATCGTCGTGACTGATGCTGTGAACACGATTTTAGATTAAATGAAAATAAATATCATCTGCTCGTATTATGCGTACATACAATATATCGCGTCGTTAGTATAAATGAAATGACAAATATTTAATATATATAAAAAAATCTCCCCTCTCCGATTTTGTTAAAACTCATATATTTTATGTAATTCGTGGCGTAGAAATCTGCTCGAAATGCATAGAATATATGAGTTGTAGAAAAATCGAGAGAGAGAGAAAGAAAATATTGAAACTTACTTCGCCAGATAATGTTTCCATATTCACTTCGCTTCGTCGACGGAGATGACGGACCAACACCGAACACACATATATTTCGTCCCGCGCGAACGTCAGACTCGTACGTTACTCGCGTAATCGCGTTACGTTAAACTCGATAATTCGGAAAGAAAGTCCTTATAATTCGATTTGTCGTGTACAGATTCGAGGAGATACGTTTACTGCACGAAAAATGTAGTGCATCGTCGAAAGAAACCATCCCGGATCGTCTCGACCGCCGACGAGACGATCGTCGCATTTCCGAGAATAAGGTATATAATTATTTCCAAGTTTTCGTATCATTTATGGTGACGAAATAGGCACGTATATGTATCGACGTCGTTGATTGGCGGAGACGATCGGACGACGCCAACGCTCGCGATTCACCCCTTCCCCCTTCCCACTCGCCAAGCATCAGTTCTCTCGCGCTCCCGCGTATTCGCGTCGCGTTATCCTTCGTCCCGACGAAAGGATCGTCGTATTATCGAGAACGAGGTAAACGATTATCTTAAAGTTTTTCTACTATCTACTGTGACGAAATATACACGTATGTGTATCGCGACGCCGGTCACTGGCGGAGATAATCGAACGAAACCGAACGCTCGCGACTCGCCCTCTCCCCGCGAGGCGTCAGTTCTCCGCGTCGCCCGCGTCGCGTTTACCGTAATTCGGGGAAAAAGTAATCTGATCTATCATCGCGTGTCGTACGGATTTAGAATTTTAGAGTGATGCAGTGCTGTGCGAAAGTGAATATTATAGTGCATCATCGAGAGAGAATCGTTTATCGCCTCGATCGTTGACGAGAAAGAGACAGAGAGGGAGAGAGAGAGAGAGGGAGAGGGAGAGAGAGAGACAGACGATCGCCATATTCCCGAAAGCAAGGTAAACGGTTTTTTTTTTTTCAGATTTTACATGTTTACTGCTGCGAAATTTGTATATTAAAATATAAATATGTCTCGTAGACTTATTGAATTACAAATAAAGCATGTCGTTGAGTGGATTAAGATATCCGACGATCGATATTAAGGCAGAATTGACGAAATATAAATATATATATTTTCGCGCGCGTTTGAAAATTTACGTTTGCCATGATTAATGACGTCACGAGGGATCCGAAGTGAACTCGCCTTCCGCGACACATTCTATCTCGGAAACATATCTTTACTCGCTCCGTATTTGACCAATGCCGGTGCCGGCCGTGTCAGGCTCGCCATCAGTCGCGATCGACGATAAAGTCCCGTGATATGCATAACGATATCCATTGCGCGAGAACGTGCGACGCTTATACGAGCAGTGGAACCGCGGGGGAGGAAAACGAGGGGCGAGAGAGAGAGAGAGAGAGAGAGAGAAAAGAGTCGGCCGATGTCGCATTCTTATTTATGTGTCGCTCGGTGACTTCGTTTAATAAAATAATTTAAATATATTAGCAGCTGTATTGGTACTATCGCGTAACGTAAACAAAGCGCGGCCGATCTTGCTTCCCTCTCTCTCTCTCTCTCTCTCGCGCGCGCATGGCATGTTTGGTATTTTTAACATACTAACAATAAAAGTTACGAAGCTAGGATCAGTCGATCGTCGTGACTGATGCTGTGAACACGATTTTAGATTAAATGAAAATAAATATCATCTTCTCGTATCATGTGTACATATAATATATCGTATCGTTAGTATAAATGAAATGACGAATATTTAATATATATAAAAAATCTCCCCTCGGAATGTTGTGTTTTCCTTGTCCTCCCCTCCCCATCCGTCGATGTTTACCACCCGCGAACGAGATACGCCACTCATTCCGAAACAAACAGTCACAAAGAGAGATCGATCGGAGGATCCGTGGAATATTCATGATACGTTCGGCGCGCGATTTATAGCGCCTCGTCGTTTTATCTCGACGGGAGAATGCTCGGCGATCATTGATGACTTCATGAGATGAAATCGCACGAGGTACGAAACTCGAAAGAGGATACTCCACCGGCGTGAATAATAAAAAGTGCGAAGTACGTGCAATGTTTTCGGAAGAGACTCGAGATATCGATAGAATGGGGAAGTGCGTACGCGCACGATGCTTGGAATATTTATTTATTAGAATCGAGATGTACGATGAATTTATATACGATACCGAGAGTTGAGTTTTATGAAAAATTTCTCTCGTCCGAGATAATTATTGGTAACGAGAAAAAAAAATTTTTTTTATCGGTCCTTTCTTCCATTTACTTAGCTGCAATATTTATTATCATATCTTTATCGATAGTGGAGCTAAACAAAAATGCAGGTATTCTTGTACTTAAGCAGGCCTTGATACGAGATAAAGTAAACGTTATTTATCACATTCAGTGGGAGCGAAGGGACGATAAGACGATAGCGATTCAAGTTCAACAGATAAATCTCGGAGAGTATCTCGAAAATAGAAAAATTTCATTTGTATGTTAAATAAAAATGTTAGATAATAATTCATGGTAGATGAAAAATTTCCTGAATAAACCATCGTTTTTATAACTTAAAATTCACCGCTCTTGCCGAAATTTGAGCAAACGGTAGATTTTTATGTACAATGTAAAGCAAATATTTGGCCATTTAGTCGAGGAAGGAGTCCTCTCAAAAAATTTCCATTACGTTGAGAGTCACTGACAATGAGCGTCTTGAAGAGACGATCCTTAGGCCGCGGAAACGGGCTTTTTTTTGTTTTCCTTTTTTTTTTTGCAATCGTCGCCACCGTGACACCGGGTCGCTCGTGTTTCGAAATTCATTTTACGTGCCGAGGCGCCGCCACGGGTTTCGTTTCAGGGAAGTGTCTTTGTGACCGCGGGGGCTCCCTCGGCCCCCTCCGCTCGAAACATCTGCTCGTCGTCGAGCAGCTAGGAAGACTTTTTTTAATCGCGGGGGCTTTGGCGGAACAGAGCGCGCCTTATGCCCGTAAGTACTGGAAAAAAGATGTATAAATCACGCCGTTGTGTCGCGATGCAATTTCGTGTCCGACTTAATTAATACCGCTGGTAATAATAACGCGCGCGCGGTAACAAAAATCAGAATCGTGTTTAGTAAATTTATTATAACTCTCGTTTCATCAGATACACAGTTGTAATTAAACAAATTGTCGAGAACCCCAACGAAATCATTTATCTCGCCTTACGAATTAGATATACGTGTCGATATCTCGAGCTTGCTTATTGTGTAAGAAAATATTTATTGCGACTCACGTATATATTTAAACACGACTCAACGATGCATCTCGTAAACACGCGAATGGCGAAACATAGCGGATCGCGGATGCGTTGTACGGAGAACGCGTAATACGCTATCTATACTACTTACAAATCGCGTGCTTGGCCAAGTCGTTATCTCGCAACACGCGTCGTCGTTGTCGATCATCGTAGGGGCTCCGCGTACAATTCCCGAGTACGGTACCCCATACCATGCGTTTCGGTGAGTCGGCCGGTCGGCTTTTCTCGATTCGGTGCTCCGCGCCGCGTACACTCCGCACCGCCACTAAATACGCCGACCGATCTCCGTAATGGATGGTTTCCTGAGCAGACGACGGTGGACATGCGAGAGAGCGACGAGGCGGAGGGACGGAGAAGGAGAGACGGTGAGCGAGAGAGAAAGAGAAAAATCGTCTCTTGACCCGAGGGGTCTCGAGGAGGACACTATGAGAGAATTCGCGGGAGAGAGAAGGAAAGAGAGCGATATCGCAGGCTTATCCTTTTTCGTCGGAAATTATCGCGTTGCGTTTCCCAGAAATTTTCCGACAACGATCCTGTTGTTCTGCGCGATCGCTCCTGACAATCGCGAACAGCTGATATTCGCGCAATCGTGCCTTTCGCAAGAAGTATATCTTATTACAAGCGCAAGAATATCCTGTCTTCGTTGCTTTATACTTTGTCTCGCTCTTTGTAGTTGGTAGGAATCGTTCGGCCGACTGGTTTTATTGGCGGTTCTCGAGAGGTGCGAAGCCGATACTTATTTGCGCGCGAGATTTTACGCGACTTAATCGCGTTGGCGTCGTTCTTGACCCAACGGAACAATGCACGGAATCGGTGAACGACCCGGCGTGTTCGATATCGCGTAATCGCGAGAATGTGAATTAAATCACGTGAATTATTCCCCGATGCACGTCGAATAAATTGAAGGATTAATGAGGTTTATCGGAGCGTAAATAAGTCTTGACTTTTTTGCATAATTATAATATGAGAATGTTCTTTTTATTAAGCGGTTTTGCATCGACGCCACCGTTTTTCGTCGCTCGTATACCGTCCATGACTCAATAATTACCCTCATTATCGAAGCACTTTTTTTATCAGTTTTATTTCGAATTTATCTAAATTAAGAATATATTTTATGAGCGTGTGTATTAAATCGTTATTTTGTACGATTCATGACATGTATGTTTTTTAGTCGAAAGTATTATTTTTGCGATCTTTAATTTATTTAAATTTTCGTGAATTGTTTTAATTTTTTAATTCAATATACTGTACGTACATCTCCGTTATTTGCTCCTTGAGCAAATCTATTATTTTGTTTATTTTTAACGCGATTTTATTTTTATTAAAGCCTTGTCGTTATTTTAAATCGTTGATACGCGACGAGATGAATAAACGTGGGATTTTTTTAAATTTTTTAAATTTTTTTTTTAAACGTTCTTTATCAAATGCGTTTAGCGCCGTCCTCTGAAATGGATTCCGGGAAAACAACAGAATGAATTACGAAAACGACGACGCACGTGCGTCGTTTCCGGCGTCGCGGCGAATTGCGACGACGTACTTCCGCCGACGACGAGGGCGCGATACGCCCGACACAAAACGGACACGTACTTTTCTGAATTACGTGAACGCATTTACAATGGCCGGCGAGATCGTTCGACGATAAACAACAGCGTCTCGCGTTAGCTGTCGCCGAATCTTTCCGTGGAATCTTGAGAAGCGAACGTATGTACGAGGACGTGTGCGAGGCTGAATCCAGTCGAAACGATCGCGCATTCAATTGGTGGAATAAAATTATTTTTACCGATAAAGACTTGTACACTTCAAACGTCAATGCCGCCAATTTCCTAGTCGGGGCCGATCTCGCTCGCTTAGAGAACTTCTCTCTCTCTCTCTCTCTCTCTCCTCTCATTATCACTCGCGGCACCTTGTTTCGAGCGATAGAATTGAAATTGGATCGAAATTGGCTCAGAATGAGCCCACATGCTACGCAAGTACCAAGACTCCTCCTCGACGTAACTCGTTGCACAATGAACGATTCATCGTTTCGGACATAGTCCGGTCGTGATGTGGCGAGGGTGTACAAACGATTCACATAGAAGTAGCGTTTTTCGTGGGAAAACACTCGTCGCAAGCTGTGAAAAATCAGTCCGAAGCGAACCATGTGTATCTAAATGCATCGGTGATGCGTTGATTTTCCCGAATCACGTTGTTTAGAAAATCGCGCGAGCATTCGGACATAAATATATATTGCGTAATAATAAATTTAGCACCATTATTTGACGTATAATACGTTCTTTCAAATTGAGAATCTAAGGCTCTTATTCGACATAGTCGCGGAGGAAATCTAAATTTTCAAAATTTTTTTTCTCTTAGAGAGAGAGAGAGAGAGGTTTTTGTTCTACGATAAATATGGCCTAGATACGAAATACGATGCGCGATCTATTTTAGAAATGTTTTGGCTGTCGACGCACCTCATTCGTTCTCAGCCAATGGAAACGGCACGACGTATCCGCTGTCGAATCGATAAATCTTGATTCGCTTCTCGTCTTGGCGCCAAATTATTTTCAACGCAAAGCATGGCCCTTGTTTTCCCGCGATTCCATGAAATCTGTCGCATGTCCTCGTTCTAATTATTAATCCCATTATTATACGTGTATCTCAAGATGTTATTTATTAAATTTA